TCTCCACTCGGATGCCGCCTCCGGGTTCCTCAGTCTACCTGCGCGGCACTGGAACACTAAAACAGCACGGACTTTCTCGCACGTATTTTCACGCAAAAATACGCGAAAAGTACTGAAATTTTCGAAAAATTGTACATGTCCTGATTTCAAAATCATTCTCTAAGTTATAGAATTCATTAAAGGGAAAAATCTCTATCTTCATAATTGTAAATATGGGAAGATTAAAAAAAAAAAAGAATTTTTGCAATTTTCGAAATAGAGTTTTCAACGAAAATGAGATGGGCAACAATTTCAACAGACCTTCACTCTGTCTAGTAACAAAATTTAATCAAAAACGGTAGAGCGTTTTCTTTTTGTTTTTTATTAATTTTGAAAATGTCCCAGGGGCTTTATGTGAAGTACCTCTCCCCCCCCCCAATTTAAATATCGCTTTCAAATTCAAGGAGCTGCGACGTCAGCCACATTGATTCGGGAATATCAATTTTGGAGAAAATCGGCTGACGGGTTTGGCCGATAGCGTTCTTCACTGACGGACAGGCAGACTTTTTGCCGCCATTCGATTTTTCGGTATCGTGGACCCTCAGAACATGGATTCGCGGTACTTCGTGTTAGAAGTTTTTTTTCTAAATTTAGCATTTTGATTTAACAACTTTTTAGTGACCAGGGTCCTGTAATAAAATTGTTGTCTGCAGAATACTCATTTTTCGTGCAGCCTTACATAACTTTCTCTCTACTGCGAAAGCGGAAGCGAAAAAGTACAAAAGTTTGTGTGTTGGTGAACAGGTGGTGCTGTTCCAACAATTAAACAAATATTAAGTTCAACTCTGCCATTAAGGGGTGGAAATGTCTGCTAAAACGTAACTTAGTTTGGAATGAGATGTAATATTCACTAAACTCGCAGAAGGATGCGAATTATCGGTCCGACACTTCGTGGGTTTGACAACGTGATGTCTTAATAAAGACGTTTTTGTTTAAATGCTTTTGGAAATAATGTTCTCTCACAAATGCATCAATCGGATATAATAGTTTGTGAAAGTCAATATTTTAATCCAAATTTGCAGATATCCAGATTTTCTCTCATGTGTTTATAAGAGCAACCGCTGTGTCTAATTAAGCCTCTTACATTTATACTTCATCTCCCATATCTTATGTAGTAGATGGCGCAAATACCAACCTTTATCTAAATAGTCATCTTAGGAAAAGCAATGTCGGTTCATTAAAGATGTAATGTAAATTAATATTACACATTTGTAGTAAAAAAAATATTTTGACGTATTTTGGCTTGCAAATTTGTTACAGGCCTCAAATTAATTGAAAATTTTATACAATAACGGTCAATTTACCGCAACTCATAAAATTACCTTACGCCTGATTTTTTAAAAACTATATTGTGTGGGCCTTCTGAATACTTGTCTCGTGCCTTCAGCCACATTGCCAGACTCTTTCGGAATTGACGTGGTTCTCTTCGTGTCCGCAGGTGACGCCAGCCGTCGACATGCGAGGGCCGCTGCTGCCGCGTGCGCCGCTAGGGGCGCTGCTGCCGCCGCTGCTACTGCTTCTGGCCGCCACGCTGGGAACCACCCGCGCTCGGCCGCACGCCACAGACACACAAGGTCAGTTCTTCTCCCCCTCCCCCACCCCCACACTCCCATTCATTCATCCTCAACGGCAGCCACTTTGAAGTCGAGCGAGGGGAGATTGACATAATAGTACACGAGACGAACCGAGACGCGATAAAAAGCGTTTCATGGCGCCCACGATTGTCGAGCTCTGTCAACTGGCCGTGGGGGTCCAGAGGATGGGCAGTGGGGCAACGCCCTCACCCCTAAGGCCTGCAGTTTTCGTTCGTTACATTCCTTCATTTGTAAAATTTGATTTAATTATTCATGTCAGAAATATGTAATTATTTTTTAAATAATACTGTATTTAGATATAGATGTATATAGAGTAAAAAACAGTAAAAACTACGTGACTAACTAAAAAAAATTGTGAAAAACTAAAAACTATGGGAGAGATCATCTGCGCATATTTTCTTGAGTTCTAAAATATCTTCCCATCATTTTTACTGTAGTATCGTAGTGTAGTACTTCTATATAACTATAGAATCTGTAACTTGTAGTATCATATATACAATATAAAAATAATGTTCAATATAATGACAAATGTTTATTATTTAACAAAACTATAATCACCCTTCTCCCAATGATCGTCTGGATCCACTTCTAGCAACTAATAAGTTGCAATAGAAGAGCCAGGAGTGAGGGACGCTGTTTTGTTAAGCAGGGGCGGATTCAGAGACGAATTTTGGGAGGAGAAATTCAAAATGTTGTCAAACATGTACCTATAATACAGATTTTGTAAAACGTCGCAGGCTACACTCAGCTCATTCTGGGATAGAACTTGAGTCGTTTTAATAATAAAACGACAATCTTTTCCTATCCTTCTCGTGTTGGCAACAAAATACTATGCACTTAGGGAGGGTGGGGGAGGGGGATCAGATCCTCATTTTTAATGGGCTTCTTAGAGTTATTTCAGTTCTGTAAGTGGGATCAAACCCTGATTGTCTTTTACACATGAGAATTAGAATTATTATAAAACATTTGAAGGAGAATCATTCATATTGACAAACATAACACAAATCTAAGAAAACTTGTCTATGATCTTAAAAATCATAAGAGAATTAGTGAATTCTCTAAGCTTTTTTTAAAAATTTTTTTTAGATAATAATTGGCTTTCCAATTTTCAAGAATTGATTTAGTAGAACAATTGCATTCAGCTATAATTATAGAGCAAATCGAGTATCGATTTAGTAGAAATAAATTATATATTTAGCAGTTTTATGATCACACTTTTTGTAATTAAAAAGTTCAAATGAATAGGTAAAAACCAGAATGGTTTAAGTGACATTTTATACATATAATTTATTTAATTCCATATCTCTGTAAGGTTGTGATGCTTTGTTAATCATTAAAGTCATGATATTTCAATTGTTTATTAAAATACAAAATTACATTGACACTGAAATATAGCCTAATATATACATATTTGTTTCGAAATTTATAAAATGTCACTTGTATCGTTCTGATTTTTACACATTCAATTGTGAATTCTAATTGGGTTGTTTCTTATATGAACCAAGCAAGTCCAAAATTCCATATTTTGAGATATTTCACCAAATTATTCCAATCATCTCGTGCTATCTGCTGAGACATTACCTTTCAGGAAGTGTCAAACACGTTGAAAGATATAAGGCAGGGAAAATCATCAATTCATTTCTATGCACATATACGTTATAAAGTTTTGGTGCTGCCTGAAAATCTTGTCTTGAACAAGTTCGGTTCTTGTAGAACTATATTTTCTTTACAATATATTTTTTTAATTAATATTGGACACAACTCTTTTGGGTATTCTTAACTATATTTTATATTTTCTGTTTTCCAACCAGGTTATTCATAGTGAGAATGGGCATATTGGGTTTGAAAGAAACAGGTTGTGCCAATCTAACCCTTATGAGTTGATGATTAATATTATCATTATTATGAACTTCTTCAATACTTCCCCACTATAGCAGAATTCATGTAATTTTTAACTGTTTTTATTTAATGTTAAATAAATAAGATGTCATATTCATTAACCCTCTGAAACAAAAAACCGGTGCAAACATGTCTTCCCCTTTTTCCAATCAATGAAAACCAAAAAAGCAGAATGAAATGGTGAGAATTTTAGATGTCATAATTGATCCTTTCAATATTCACTTTCTGTGTGAATACATAACAACTAGAACAAGAAAGCAGAATTCAGTATTTGGTTACACTCAAACTTACGCAAAGCTTTAATGAATAGCTGGTGTTGCCTTCATGCTTTGAGCGCTTAAATATCGGAAATAGGTTGCTTTAAGGAATCGATAACTTAGTTATAATCATTAGAGCTGAACAAAAAATGTAGAAAATGTTTAAGTAGAAACAGAACAAAAATAAATTAATAAATAAAAAATGCACACTGAAGTAAAAAAATAACAACAAATAATACGATCTGATTGATTATTCCAAGGTATTAAACTCTCCAACAACCCATTAATTCCTTGTTCCTTAAGGCATCTTCTTTAACACGTATGTCTATAAACTGAGCAGTACTAACTAAATAATAGATAGAAATAGAATAATAGATACTTAACTAAATAATAGATTTCTATTAATACAATATTATTCGATTAAATTACATTATTACAATAATCTAAGAAATAATTAATTTAAGCTGTAGTTACTTTCTCTACATTTAATTTTTAGGGAGGAGTGTTTATGTTAGCGCTAGAAAATGTTTCTTTTCTAGCAAATAAGTAGCAAGTTCATAAGAAAATGAAAGTCATATTAATTCTATTAATATTGAGCATTAACTATGAATGTAGCATTGAAATTACACGACTAATTTTTTAAAACACATTTTTCTTATTTCTACTTATTTGGTATACGATAGTAAGGGGTTGCTAATTTGTACTTTCATATACTAATTTGTACTTTCATTCACTTACATATCAGAAGAATTCTTTAATTCTGAAAACACTTAACATCAGAAAATAAAGAGGTATCCATTTAAATTGTTCAGTCGAAGGTAACAATTGACACGGCATAATAAACAGATTTCGTAGGAAAAGTAAAGCAGGGGTCAGTTTTAAATAGCAATTGTACTTCGTTTCATAAGTAGTTTTTTAAAAATCAGATCTAACCATACAATTTATTATACATAAAGTAATTGCAGAAATTGTTGTATATCCAATAATATATTTCAAAATCATTCAAATTTATTGACAAATAGAAATTTCTAGTTCATATTTTTAATTAGGCGATCTCAGAGTCCATGTCAGGATGGCCGAGCGGTCTAAGGCGCCAGACTCAAGGATAACCTTGCCTGACCAATCAGGTTGCGAGAATTCTGGTCCTCTCTGAGGGCGTGGGTTCGAATCCCACTCCTGACAACTTTTTTTGCGTTTCGAGAATAGATCAGCAATAATCCAGTTCACCAATCTTTATTCTGAAAAACTACTCTACCTCTTATTGACGCAAATGAAGCTAGAAATTTGTGATATTCTCAATACCATTTTAAGAGGGTAAAGAGTTGCAACATATGTTGCAACATTTAGTTATTAACGAAAAATAATTTTTAAGGAGAGTGAAATGATGTACTAGATCTGACAGAATAATAAAAAAAAAACGATGACATTAGACAGGCATTGAAATCAGAAGCTATAAATGGGAAAAAAAAGATGAATACAGAGAGAGATGGAAAGAACACATAGGTAGAATGGAAAATACAAGAATACCCAATACAGTTTTTTTTACTGTCATCTTCGTGGTACAAGAAATATAGGCAGACCGAGGAAAAGATGGAAATGAATGCTTTGTGAAAACGGAACAGGTCATGAGCCCAATCCGTGAAGTAAAGATTAAAAATAATTGCAAGTATTGCATAATTGTGTTTTTTCAATATTAAACATTCATACAATGAATTGTACGTTGTCAGAGAAATAAAAAAAAATTTCCCATGCCGGGAATCGAACCCGGGCCTCCTGGGTGAAAGCCAGGTATCCTAGCCACTAGACCACATGGGAGGTTGTGATGTGAGGTGAACCATAATAATAACAAGGAACGTAACGTCTAAATATAGTACAATTAGTTACTATAATTTATTTTACTAAATTGTTTTGCAAAAAATAAGTGTTACGTCTATAATGGAGAAATCTTGCAACTTAATATTTACGTTCACGAACATTCTGTACTCACAAAGTTCAAGGTTGTAAATGAAATATCGAATAGAAGGAATGAATATCATTTGTGTGACGTCAGATTGCGTTGCAAGCACCGAGGTAGATCTTCATTAGTAATTTCTTTTATTATAATTTGCGGACTATATTTGAATAGAATTTTGTGTAATAATAACCCTGAGGTGTGAAATAATTGACTATATCGAAACACGCTCATCTCTCAAATTTCAAAATATCTTCAACTATTTAGAAGATTCTATATTACAGTAGGTTGTGTTCTAATGAAAGTGAGAGAAAAAATAACTTTTGCCTCTCAGTAGCCATAACACAGAGGTTTTTGTAACTGTATGTCGTGGCTCCCAGGGGTGTCGCAATGATTTATAAAAAAATGATATTTAGACTTGATTTACTTAAATCCTTGTACCATGTCCTCAAAATAATTTACCGTGGGCTTAAGGAGTTTCCCCGCATCCAGGTATCTCCCCTTAGCATCTTCCTCCATCTCCGTGGGGACAAGCTGTTACGAACGTATTACATTCGTATTACAAATTTGAAAAATCACTCCTAACATCGCATTATAAATTTGGAAGAAAATGGAAGTTAATTTTTTGAAACAACTTTGTTGTGACGTCACAAGTATTAGACATCTGTGCGAAAAGACGGTGATCGGTTATTCGGTTTAATTATGCACGATTCTCTCGCTGTGATTGGCTGAATGTGTGATGACGCAATTCTTCGTCCCGTAAACGGAAAAATCATAATTTGTGGCGTAAAGTGCCATTTTATCAATGATTTCTTGTAACGGAAAAGGTCTGGAATACTAAAAATATATTAAGCAATGAACATTAGGCTAGCCATATTTACTTGAGACAAAAATAGAAAATGGGGATTACAAAAATTGGGACGACGTAAAATTTCCATTCAGTATCGAGTGCAATAACAGCAGAATCGCATTAACACGGAAAGTATCTTCCAGAAACAAAATAAATACTCCACGTTTAAGTAAAATTCGCTTTAGTTTAGGCCTGTCATTACTGTTGATCCAAAAATACTTCAGTGTTGAAACCTAACGTTTCATTGAAACATATTTCGTAAAACGGGATAAAGTCTAAAAAAAAACAACAACAACACCTAATCTAGTCAAATACGTGATCGGCATTGAAATTTTCCTTCCTCTTATTGTCATTACCCAACAAATGCTCATATTTTTTTAATAGTGCACAACATCATTTAAAGATATGCGATTGATGAATAAATAGCATTAAGAAAAAGAGCATGAGACTTTATTAATGAAGATGCAGTATTTTGAACTTCTGCAATATTAAAAATTTCGGAGGTTTTAAAGAAAATCGGATCTATACCACATTTGTAATTGAACTTTCCCCTATTCGAGAAAAGAAAAACAACGAAAGATGACAACCAGTTTTTAAGAAAATTTTGAGAATGACACGCTGTTCGAGTAAAGAAACCCATAATTAAAATGTCTTCACAATTCCTGAAACAACAATAGATCTTACTCCTGACATGTTTACCAAGTTTCACGTCAAAAGCTTATAATCCGACAGTTGTGTGTGGCTTAATTCCATCCATTTATTTGGAAGTTATTTTGGATTCAGAATTGCATGCGTACACTCAGCACCTGCACCAAGTTGGATCTTTGGAATGGTGCTAACAAACCTTAGTTCGGGCGTGTGAGCCAAGGATCAGCTCCAACGAACGTTGAACTATCATGCACTTAAACTATAACTTGTACTATAGTTTAAGGAGAAATAGTAAAAACGGGACTGATCGTTCACAACTGGACGTATGATACACTTCGATTTGTCTATTGTGGCGGATGACATTAGATCATTGTTACACATGTAGTCTTATAAAATGAATCATTTTAATTAATTCGGGAACTCTTCGGGAATTAATTCTTCTCAACAGGACCCGTGGCCTCACAAATGTGCTGACCACTGACAAAAATATTCATCTTTTAAAGCAGGAGGTGTAACAATGACCTAAAGTCATCATCGGCCACTGTAGGAAAATCGAAATATAACATGCAACTCCGCCTGAGATCTTGATTTAACCAAAACCCCACCCACTTGCACTCTCCCTTCCCTGATGCACTTTAGGATGCAACTTCGACAACGAAACAACAATGTTGCCAACCATCATTTGATAGTGGCCGTGTAAATTAATGTATAATTAAAATGTAACTGACAACTAGATTTAAGAAACGCATCTCCATGAAGGTAGTGTAATGCGAACCGCATTCGTGTTCGAACGCCTAAATAATAGTACTGTCATTTATTATTTAAGATTTTAACTTTAAAAAAATGTTGATCTTGGGAATTTTTCGTTGACGAAAATTGATTCATTGAAAGAGTAAAAACAACGAGCATAAGACATCGATGTTAAAAAAACAAACATCTGCTTCATGTTGAACACATTGATATTTTTATAGAAACATTGACGTTTTGAAAACATCAGAATCGATGTCGCATCCCAATCGGGAGCTTGAACGTCACTATAGTGACGTCATGATGTCATTATATCGGGAACTTTACCGTAACTAGTTATGTCATTATGGTTGATGATCAAGCCTTCAATTGGATGACGGCGACTCAGCTGACAGTGTGTGAAGGGTTGTAGGCGAAGTTTAATGCGACCGTGTTTTGTGTTTGTGCCGGCAGATGTCGCCGCGGCGCCGCTCACCCACAGCTTCTACCAGCCCGGCGCGTGGCGACCCGTGGTTCGCCCGGCCGCCGCCGACGGCGTTGCCTTCGCCCCGCGCAGCGCCGCCGCCCAGCCGCCGCCGCCGCTTGTCTCCAGCGTCGCCAGCAGGTACCCCACCCCCACCCCCCCGCCGCACACGCGCCCGCTCGCCCGGCACTCGCCGGGCAGCCGGCGCTCACGGGTGGACTGAACCGGATACACCGAAAGCGACACACACCACTTCGCAAAGGGACAGCACTCATTTGAGCGCCTCAGCAGATGAGACGATAGGAACAACACCATCTCACACACCGATTTCTAACAGTACTCGTAGCTCGGAAAAACTATATAGAGAGAACGCGACAGCCCACTTTTCGCAAAGGGATAGAACTCATTTGGGGGCCTCTGTGGTTGAGGCCCAGGCGGAGTCAGCAGGAACCACACGACCGCACAAAGCAATTTCTAACGACACTCTTAGGGCCGTTACAGATAGCGCGACGGATACTTCATCCGTCACAAGTGCCTCCGACAATGCAAAGACAGTCCATACGCAGCCCACAAATGTAAAGCCAATTCCTTCGTCACGTGACAAAAACGGTCGTAGCTTAGGCGAATTATCCCGGGAAGCTACGAATGACGCAACTCCAGACGGCGGTAACACTCAAACACGCCAATCTCTTACGCGACAAGTAGTTGACGCATGGCCGCTGGTCGACTCGTTAGTTACCAACGATGATCCTAAGCTAGCAGAACCATCCGCAGAATCTCACGGAGAGGCTTCCCTCCAAGCAGGGAGAGGTCACGTGATGGCCTCCGCGAAAGGACGAGTCCAGTCTAGACGGGGAGTAGCAGCAAGGCGACTCACTAGCGGTCCGGTTTTTAACAGGCGAGATAAGCCGGTCGAATTATTCCGGACTCCCGGAAATAAAACACATTTTCACAGGAATGATGATGCGGCTAGGAGAGTTAACATGCGATCGACGGGCGAAGCTCCACAATCGATCAGCACTCGACTATCGAGGGTTTCGGCGGGAACAGTTCGGGTTTACACTTCGCCGGAAGAAGGTGCACCTAGACCGGAACCCAATGGGGAAAACGTTCAGTCCGTCAATAGTCATAGTTGGGGTAAATCCAAAGATCCACAAATGTCCACTGTTGAATCAGGTACAGCCCCTCCAGTCGGCACATCCGAAGACAAACAGGGAACGAACATAAATATATTCACCGGCGTTCTTTCCTCGAATGGTTCTGGTAGCGGCGGTAAATTAAGTGAGTCACCGGGCCTTAGCGCGAATGACAGGGGCGCAATGTCACAAGAATCGTTAGATGTTACGAGTTATCGTGGAATGGGCATTTCGAATAAGTCACACAACACTGATACAGCCTCTCCCGAATTATCAAGGGAACCCGAAAGCGGTTCGCAAATACACACAGGTCTGGAAGACCCAAGTTTCAAAGATCCAAGTAAAATTACGACGCCAATTGTGTCCGATTCGGGGACAGCAAGTGAGTATAATGAGTCACTAGGTCTTACTGAGAATGGTAATCGAACAATGTCGCAAAAGCTAGTGGATCCAAATTTTCATGAAACAGGTGCACATAAGACAAATGAGTCTCATAATGAATCTGCAAGTAGTACTCCAATAAGTATTTCGAAGTCTGACCCGGAAACTACGGAGATTCCCGCAGATTCGTTCGACGAGAATTCATTCGATAGAGATTCGTTTGTCGAAGGTTTATTCAAAGACGATTCGTTCAAGGAATTCGCAGATTACTTGTTTAAAGAATTGACATCTATTAGTAATAAATCGACTGGTTCAATCTCGACAAAGGAATCTGAAAGAATATCCGAACCGATTACTCACACGGATTCTACAGAACGTAGTTCCGAGCCCAAAGAGAACATTGAAACGCACCGATTTGAATCTCTCTCACAACCGAAGATATTACATGGGAACCACTCTAATGGAAGCAATATAATTAACGCAAATGAAACATTGACAAATGGTGTTTACTCGAATATTTATGTTAATATTCAAACCAACAGTGACCGGTTGCATCAGGCGTTGCAATCACGTGACTTTCCAACTTCGACCACAGATCTCGACTCCGCCACGAGAGATGTAAACAATCCTGTAAATAGTTCAAATTCATATTATTCAAACCATACTTCCAACTACACGGACAATAGAGGTAGTCATATTGAAACTAGAGAGCATTCATATGAAACAACACTGCCAAGTGAGAAAGTACAATATCGCGACAAAAATATGACGTACACTAAAAAGGATTTGCCTAAACGTAAAAACAATGAAGTGAATGTTACATCGGGAACGTTACTTTCAAATGTTACTGTGTTCGATCTCGAAGGTAACCGTATAAACGAGACTGGAAAAATATATGAACTTACTAATATTACTTTAAATGATCATAATAAATCTGCTCCAAAGCTTTACACAGACAAGTATACACTTTTAACAGGTGCAGATAATCAAACAATCGCTCATTTTATCGACCGTTCATTCGCTTTTCAACAGGTGCATCAAGAACCGGATTTTTTAACTCCTTTGCAGAAAAACAATCGTTCTGAAAATGAAACTTTGCATGAAAAGGAATCTGCGAAAAATTCTCGGAAGGAAACACGTGACAAAGGAGACGAAGAGGGAGAATTAAGAAATAGTCCTCTGAGCAGAGACGATTCTTATGCAAGGTATTACAAGCAACGGGAAGTTCCAGAGCGGTACAGACACAAAGTAGGTACGAACCAACAAATGTATCCAAGTACTACAGAACCCGTACGAACGGAAAGCATTGAAGCTGGAGTTTTGCCTTCTCCATTCTTAGAATCACAAAAATACCGAAACACAATGAGCAGACACTCAAGACAGATGATTAAAAACACAAAAGATAGTTATTCGATAGGACGCGAATATTTTATCAACAAACCGTTGCCAGCTCTCGCAGCCAGCAGAAATGAAAACAACGATGTGGCAAATAACAACGAACCAACTGACGCCTCCACTGGTCTAGAAACGCCTTTCACGGAAGTGACGATTCCAAGTCAGCTTTCGCCCCTGTCAGGCGAATCAGCTACAGACGACTTGGGCGATGACGTCACCGAGGAGCCCTCCTCCGATGGGCCAACAGCTCAAATAATCGCACCCACGCCCACCCCCACCCCTGCCCCCGGACGGTTTCCACTCCCCCTCCCCTTTCAACCCTCCGCCCGCGCCCTGGACCGTCCCGCCACCACGGCCCCGCCCCCCTCCGCCTTCGATTACGCCGTGAGTCGATTCCCTCCGGAGGAATCGGAAGCGGAGGACCCGGTCGCCTTGGACGACGATTACGAATCTGCGGCCGGGTTCCGCGATTTCACGGACACCAGTAGTTCAGACGTCCCTTCCCACAGGGACAAGGGTGGTGGCGACGACGACTACCATTTTGACATCCCTGAAGGTCCATTCCTGCACGGCAGGAAGGGACGGGTGAGCTTCTTTGAGAATACCCGTCCTACAGAAGCATATTCTGGAAAAGAAGACACGTCCCACGAAGACTCAAAACAAAGAACATCCGATGAATATGAGGAACCAACGTTTCTAGGAGATTCACGTAACGACTTCGACGATGTGTCAGTGCCAGAGGAGGCTACGTATTACCAGGCAGAGGGCAATCAATACTCAGAGGAAGAGAACGCAGTGTTAGACCTCGTGCCGCTGATCTTGCATTATCTGTCGGAGGACGTCAAGTCCCAACTGACGCACCGCGCAGACCCTGAGCTGGAGACTGTTCGAGAGACGGTGCGCGATACGGCCACTCTCGTCCTTCAGCTCATCGACTCGGTTCGCTACAGTAGTCGCGCCCATCCCTTTGATTCGTTCGCGCCACCACGAAACAAGAGAGGAAAACGAGAAACGAAATTTTACAGAATGACCAACGATGAGTTGATGAAGAAATTGAAAATGTTTTCAGAAAACAGATCTACCGAGCGCCCTACAACAACAGAAGCTCCGCCGAAGCTCTCGTCCTCCACAGAAGCTCTACCCGCCATAAAGACAATGATAGACTCTTCTGAAAATCGAACATTTACTAGAGGCAAAGTAGACAAGATTTCTCGTCCACATACCACTCAAAATACAACTGGCACTACTATTTTCCATCACAGACTATCGAGTGGCATTACGATTGGAAGGCTAAGAGACAGAATAAAAAACAACCGGCCTTCTGGGAATGTAAATAAAGGCACGATAGAGACTTTCAACAATGTAGGTCCTCAGAACAGATCAAATGTAAGCATGCAAAGCCTCGTCTCAGAGAAAAACCAAACTAACGGTATTGCACCTAAAGATTTTGTCGCTGTGCCTGTAAGTACGAGCAAACCAAAACATAGTTCTCAAACAGCCGGCATCACGAACCTACATTCCACTGATATATCAAAATCCTCTCGAATGGGCGTGCTAGGGCAGCTGCTACGCAACAAAACTCTCGAGGGGCCTCTGACAATCGATCGATTTACAATCGATAGACCCCCGCGACTTCAACATCAATCTCTAGTCGCGTCTTCGTTGTCACAGGACTCCACGAAGAAATCCGACCGGTCTTCCGCCGAACCAACGTACTATCGATTCCGGATCGAGCGTCCAGTCGATCTATCGACTACGTCCCCCATCATCACCGCACGACCCAAGCCATCCCTCGTCGCTTCTTCATCCACGTCGCAATCGATAGAGATATCCGACCGGTCATCCGCCGAACCCAAATACTATCGATTCCGCCTCGAGCGCCCGCTCGACCGACCGATTTCGTCCACGGCGTCGCCCATCATCACCGCCCCGCCCAACCTCCGGCCCGAGTGGGACGCGGAGAAGCGCGGAAAGTCGATAGTGGACGAAGCGGCGTGGCTGCGAGTGGCCACCCGCGACCACCCGCGCGTCGCCATCCGCCGCCTGGCCGACGTGCTCAGGCTGGCCAACAGCCGCACCATCGCCCCGTTCAGGCACGCGAGCATCGCCGTGCGCAAGGGGCAGTCGGCCGAGCGCGCGGCCGCCCGGCCCGAGCCCAAGGACGAGTACCACTACGTCCAGAGCCCCGAGGACAAGCTGGAGCTCGTCAAGCAGTTCCTGGCCAGCAACCTGCACGACCTCACGCTGCCCAACACGACGGTGCACGCCCCCAAGGGGCAGGTCAAGCTCATCCACCTGCCCTCCAAGCTGGCGACGCTCCACACCGAGAACAAGCTGTGGCCGGGCGGCGCGTCCGGGGTGCAGAGCCTGGACGACCTCATCATGTACCACACCTACACGGACGACGCGGACGTCCGCCCGCGCCCGCCCGCGGTGGAGGTGGTGGGCGCGGCGCGGCCCCCCAAGGGCGGCTACGACCACGGCGCCCGCCGCCCCCCGCCAGGAAGCCCGTCATCATCGTGGTGGAGTCCGCCACCAAGGATCGGCCGTCAAGCCAGAGTACCACATCCACCACCACCACCGCCGCCGCGTCATCGCTCCAGCTCGTCCGCCCCAGCAACTCGTACCCGCGCCCAGCAACTCGTACGGCCGCGCACCCGGGCCCAGCAACTCGTACCAGCGCCCAGCCAATTCGTACCAGCGCCCAGCAACTCGTACCAGCGCCCAGACTCGACCCAGCACACTCGTACCCAGCGCCAGCAACGCGTACCCGGCGCCGACCCCGTTAGCCCCCGTCTACCCGTCCCTCCCGCCCCCGCCAGCCTAGCCAATTTACGCCCCAAGCCCCTCCCACGACCCGCCCCTCCAACAACCCCTCTTCCCCGTCTCCCACGACGTCCCCACAGGCCCCGGCGAGGACTCCTCCAGCGGCAACAAGCCCCCCTGCACCAACATCTACATCAACTCCGACATCACCAACACAAACAACATCAGCAAGGAGGGGTGCACGGACGTCAACATCGTCCTCCAGTCCAACATCACCAACCACAACAACCTGGACGTGCCGGCGCGGAGGCCCGGGTTCGGAATCCAAAACCAGGACCCGTCACCGCCCACGGCGACGGCCACCGCCACCGGCGGCACGGCCACCAGCACGGGCGGCGGCGGCGGCACAAGCCCCACGGTGACCGTCACCACCACCGGCGGCGCCACCGGCTTCACCACCTACCAGCTGCTCACGGCGCTCTACTTCAAGAAGCTCAAGTTCCTCAAGCTGATCGTGCTGCCGCTGCTGGCCGTCAAGTTGGCCGGCCTGGCCATGTTCGCGCTCGTGTCCAAGATGCGCAAGGGCGGCGGGGCGCCCGCCAAGGAGCACAACCTGACGGTGGTGAAGGTGCCGGGCCCCACCAAGCACATCCACCACACCAAGTACGTGCACCTCCCGCCACCGCCGGCCGTGCACTCGCACGCGGGCCCGCACTGGGCGCGCCACGCGCCGCCCAGCGACCAGCACATCCAGGTGGACCCCGGGGACGTGTTCGACCGGCAGCAGAGCGCAGAGGACTACGGGCGGGGGGAGGAGGAGGAGGAGGAGGAGGAAGGCGCGGCGGGGAACAGGCGCCCCTACACGCACGCGCACAGCAGCCACGACATCCTGTGGCGGCCGCACCGCAGGAAGCCCAAGGGCGCGCCGCCCTGGTTCACGCCCACCGTGCCCAGCGCCCGCCGGCGCCGCCCGCCCGCCAGGGGCACCTAACCCTCCCCCTCCTGCCCATGGGCACATGACACTATATGGTCAAGCGAATGCTGTGGTTCACGCCCACCGTGCCCGGCGCCCGGCGGCGGCCTCCACCTAGAACACGCTCTGCCCGTCCATCTGCCCATGGGCACAACAGCGACAGCATACGGCGGTCTTCGACTTCTGGTCAAACCATTGTCCATGACCAACAGCTTGTCATGTTCCTGTCCATGCGCACATGCCCATGGGCACAATGACAGAATACGTCGGTCTTCGCCTTCTGGTCAAGCGAATGTCGATGACTACGGTTTGTCATGTTCCTGTCCATGGGTACGTTCCAATTCGGGAGAGGATAACAGAAATTGACGACATTGCTACCTGGTGAAGGAGAGTTTTGCTCACAACGTTTCTCGCTCGGATCAACCGTGCCTAGCGCTAGGAGGTGGCGCCCGCCCGCCCGCATGGGGCACGCAGCTGACAGCTTGTCGCGGTCCTGCCCGTGGGCACGTTCCTATTCTGGAGAAGATCAAATAAAATAAAGGTGTCTGGCTGCCTGGTGAAGAAGAGTTGTAACTTGCACGACTTGATGATAGAGCAATGTCAGTAACGTCGGCAACTCATCGTTATGACAGACAGCGAGAAGGCATCAGGCGCATTAAAGCTGCAACGAGGGGCCACTAGCAAAGGCCACGAGCCAATACTTGAACCGACTATGACCGATTCCCAATTACAACCCTGCCAGAACTTCGCACCCGTGTGTTGTGGCCTCCTGCGCGACCTTGACGATTGTCGCAAAAGAGGCAGACCAGAAGTTCTCGCTTACGCGGATGCGGGTGTTCATTTGAAATGTCAATCGTCACAAGAAACTGCTTTACGTATTACTGTCGTAAATCGCTATTTATGACATCGTTTTACATCATAATTAGCACACTAGCCTAACTAGCAACACATAGACAGTAAAGGATGTCTATTATCAAAAATACGCTGAATTCTAAATCAGGCCTTGCCTACTCGTGGTTCGTGGGCACATTTGGCCCTCCACGTTAAATTGTGCGTCCAGACAGAGCATTTGCTGCTGCAAATATTGAAAGTTTTACGTGTAAAAAGCTATTCGATAAATGAAAATGTCCTTGGCCTTTAGTTGGCAAAGCCTTATAATACTTCTATCACATCCAAGAAATATATTCCAACTTGAGACATTTTGCACAAGCTATGCTTTGCGATCTACATTTCTGTGTTAAAAGTTTTCTTGGAAGACGATATTTACAAATCACGTGCTTAGTTAATTTACAGCAATTTTAAAAACCGGCCAAGATGTGCGACGTTTAATATAAGAAGTACGGAAAAGGAGAATCAAATTTATTATTGATTAAGAATCTAAGAGTTAATTATATTCAAGGAATGAATAACAACAATTTTTTATTTTGTATATTAATTACATTTTTATAAAAGCGTTTTTATAAACGTGCCGCCCCACTACAACTTTACGTGTAATCAAAGAGGTCTGTGAAACTATTTCGGTTCGCCAGACTTCTTATTCACGGTTTAGTTTCAGACAAAGCCTATTCCTGAGACGTTTCAGGCTTTCATTTAGGCTTTCAGACTTTTCATGCTTTGAACATCCGTTTCTGAACTGATGTTTTAGTGTAAAATCACCATCGAATACGTAACGACTATATTAATAACGTGATTTAGTTGGGTCAATATCTGGATTACAAATGCCAGACGAAGAATTGAGACATTTGCTTGGGTAGACTTGCAGGTAGAGAAAACAGGCCAAAGCTCTTTATTGTGGATACGATTCAAATAACTGAAGTGAAGTCGATTGAGAAAAATTCAAATTAAGTTAATTTTTATTGTCAAATGCATTGCATTACTGAAATGTACAAGCAACTACCAATGTGAAAAATTCGTCAAAGCACCTAACAAAAAATAAATTGCGGAATGATGGTTATTTATAAATACACAAACATGTTTCAAAACATGAACAAAAAGTATGCTAATATCAATGGTGTACTCGGACGTTAATAACCAGTTTTTATCGTACCAATTGTACCTTAATTATGCAATTTTATGGTAAAAAATTCATTTTATGAATTCTTTAGAAAAAACATTGACAATCATAGAAAAAATATGTTGTAGCGATATTTCAAGGAATACTGCATTACAATATTTAAGAATATGATTCAGCTTACCTAATGGTTTATTGTATATTTGTATCTAAACTATCGTAACTAAAGCTTTATTATTTATTTCAACATAAAAATGTAATGCTCTTGCGCAGAAATCTAAGAGCCCAATAAGCATTCGTTTGACAATTAAGGTGAAGGGTTACGGGGTCAAGGAAGGGGTAGGATGGGGACAATAGTTAACACTGACGATTTTTCTATAAAAATTACTTCATTAGGATTGAGGGGGAAGCAAAAAATCGTAAAAAGTCAACGCTCGCTTCACTAACCAAAGGTTAAAAAGATATATTTATGAAATTATCATAGAAATTGAACCCCAAAAGATAGTTTTAGCCTTGATATACACTACTCAAGCAATCTTCAGTAAGTTTTGGACAGCACGAAGCACTAAAATTATCATTTTATCTCCCCAAAATCGCTAGTAAGAATTCTTTAAAAATGAAGGGAATGAATTCTTTAAATACATCCTGTAATGTATTGATCAGGAAACATCAATTTTATTAATATAAAATAATAGATATATAATAATATTGAAAATGGTTATTGAATCACTAAGAAATCTTTAAAACTTATGTAAAAATTATATTTTACTGAAATTACTACAAAACAATAGAAGCTCATTTGAGTAGTATAAATGTTAGTGTTTATAGTCTTCAAACAAAAGCATGTGTATAACATTCAGGTATTTCGGAAAAACACAAATCGTTCTCGCGGACAGTTTTTTGTCGATCGTTGTCCTTAGCAACCGAGGCATCACACCACGCAGTTCCTTCGCAAGTGTCGGCGTAGGCGAACTTTCAGAGCGCCTCATGGCCGCACCAACGAGCCAGAATATACTGCATAGAGTGGCCGAAGCGCCGCCATCTTTGAAGCAAATTGAAGCCATGACTTTTGCTGTCAAAGCAACGCCCTCTGATCAACTATTCAATAAATAAATTTTCCATATTTGAATTCTATGAAATATAAATCGAAGTCTTTAGTTGAAAATCAGGATTAAGAAAGCACTTATTTGAAAATGATGAATTATAAATATTACGATTCTAACCACTAAAATAATTCAAAAACAGATAAATAAAAAGAAAACAATACAGAAATCAAATCTTTAACAAACAACACGTCAATTCAGTATAGCAACAGTTTTAAACGTCCCCATCAAGCCACCACTCGTATGTTTCGGCCTGCAGAAATCACGGCAGTCTCTAGTTCTGCGAGCGTCTTCTCTTCCAAGAGCGTTGAAAGTCTCTGTAGTATATTCTAACTCGTCGGGTCCCACACTTCCCCAGCTCTCGTTCATTGCCCTGCCCTGCGCAACCGCTGGCGCCGCCATCAGTTCACGGCGGTCGCACGCTTCCTAGCGGAACACTGAACTGCAGCACCGAGGTTGCGCCAGCCAAGGTGTGCTTAGGGGCCGACCACTAGCTAAATTACTTAACGAAACAGCTGAGAAAAAATAATGTCGGGTCAGTCATGAAACAATCTGGACTAAATGGAATACAGAACAAGGGATCTTCCATAAATTACGATGCGCTAAACAGGGGGGAAGACGTTTGAGGCAGTGTTACGCTGCTTTATATACTTAGATTAGTGTATTTGAAGAATTTTGAATCCCTCCTCTCTTGTAGTCACGTCTGCTTGAAACCCGTTAATAATTACGAAACATTTGCGACAATATCCCCTATTTACAGTACGTAAAAGTAATTCATACAATAGTAAAGCGATTTTAATTAATTTTATTTGTTTATATATATATATTAAAATTTATGATAGAATTAGTTGACGATGCTGACTGCACTTCACCGTAGGATTTGGGGCCATTTTGAGTGAAAGGAGGACACAGATGCGAGAAAATTTTTGAGAAGCCCTGCACACTCCGTTATGAATGACGGATTGACAGAGTGTCTGCTGAGCCAACCTATTTGAATTGTCCTATATACTATAGGTCAGTTTTGAATATTTTCTTCGTAATCTGATAAATTGAATCAATATATCCTTGATGAAATGTACTTTCCTTTATTGTAATAACTTACATGAAATAAGTTTTTAATTTATTTATATTTTTAAAATGTTAATACTTTAATAACTTGTTAGCACTAATCATTTAATTTGTTAATAACAATAATAAATAATTATTTGTATAAAACTAAAGAAAATAATTATTTTAGAAAGAGTTGAAAATTTAAAAACAGAATAAATATCAACGTTAAGTAACATTAAGTATATAAAGCCTCCCCCATCTTTATCGAACTGTATTCCATTTAGAACAGATTTTTTAATGTCTCACTTAAACACCATTTTTTTCTCTTTCTTCTTTTCTCGGCATTTGTAAACGTGTTTTGAAAGTCGGTTAATTTTTTTAAATCACTTTAATTTTATTAGCTTTTTCCTTGTTTTAAAAAAAAGCAAAATACAAATGGAACTTAACAGAATCAACTAATTTTCAAACAAATTTTGAAAATATATTCTTAATGTAACATCCGAAGAGAAGATGAAAGAGAAATGAACAGTGTTTATCTCTCTCATGAAAAAACAAATAAAATCTCATGTCATTTAAATATTACGGGAAGTCAAATCCACAGTTACTCGTAAACATTGCAGTTTATACTAATTGTCTACAAAGCGACGGGAGTCACCAGTCGTTTTCAGCTCGTCCAGAATACAGATTTCCGTTGTGCAATGTCCAAGAGGGAAATTTGTATTGACTATTCAGTTTTGAATGCGTTTCTACACTCATTGATGTGAAACAAATTTGGGGGTATAATGGATGAGAAATGCTTAGAAATGATTTACATTTATTTCATAAACGTTGGCTAACTTGTGTTTGAGCCGTATTTCCTATTATTCTTATTAATCAGTCAACTGGAGAATGTTTGTTCAATATCGAAGTATTTATATAATGCAAGTAAAGTACATTTTAAAACTTTCTTTTTCAAGAAAACTGATTTACATGGCTAGTTCTGGATTACATTTTGGTATATTGCGAGTTTAATTAAAGTCATGTTGAAACTAAATAACACGGTATTTTTGAACTTCAGTATTTATGGCCAGTCTATTTCCGTCAGTTTGATGACTTAATTTACACACATACATTATTCTCAGTTGATTTTTGGCATCCTTTCTACCAATTATTACAATGTTATTTTATAAACGATATTGGAATAGAGTAAATCGTGAAATCTATCCATAACCACCACCTGACACTTTGAGGCATTAATAGATGGCGCTCCAGCCCAGGATTGCGGGAAGAATACATTTCATAGACTGATCTTTCGGCGATGCACACGTGTTTTAGAATATGTAAAAACCGTCTATTTCGTGAACGTGACAGAACCATATTTCACGCCTTTACATTAAACATTACATTTTTTACGGATGGATAATTTTCTGAAAAAGTTTTACAATTGAGTCGCGACAAAGCAAACGGAAACAAAACTATAATGGCGACATGTGCATTTGTACAACATCCCTCTCTCCTCTAGATTTAAGCTCTACTAACTTTTTTAAACTTATGTTGCTTCTCATCATGTTTTTTCTCGTTTCTGAAACTGTTACCTGATTTTGAGATTCAATTAATGTGACACAAATGTCTATTTTATTTTTTCTTGACGTGAAATGCGTAAGAATCAGCAAGCTATAGCCCGAATCAATTAAAAACTCGCCAAAAATATTGTTCGGTTATATTTCCGATCTGGAATCCTGCTCGGAAAGCCATATTCTTTTATTTTATTGTCATAAGGCAATTAAATAATATTATTCTTTTGATAGTACTATGAGAATTAGACATAATACAAGTATGATATGTATAAAAATATTCGAAATCGAATTTCAAATTTAGGAACTGTTTCAGAATGTGGAAAACGGTAATTTTTCATGTGTGTTTACTTACATGTATGTTAAATGATGTATTAACAAATAACCAAAATATACTGTATTACTAACTTGTCCTTGATGTGCGTTTACTAACACCAATTAATGCTCTATTCTTCCTCAATCCTTAACATTCCTCATCTAACAAACGTTTTTGTCATTTATTTATAAGGAAAGTGTGAAAACACAATAAAAATAATTAACAAGTATCAAAAGTGAAAAAAGTCCGATAGTAAAAGTTCCTTAAAAGTAAAACGAGAATTTCAGTTTGTAAAAATTCTTTTAATGTCTATACTACGATGGACTATCGCTTCAATTTTCAGTAAAAAAGCAAGATATTGAAGGTAATTTTATTTATTCTCACTTTGAATGTTTGTTTTAAAAAGTTTTCACAAATTTTGAACTCCATATATTTAGCGATTACTTAAGATCAAATTTTTAACTAAGATATATTTGACAACAATGTTAGAAATTTGCGAATTTTCAATTAGAATTTGAAGAAAAACTATTAATCTTTTAAACACAAGTATTCATACCGTCAGAAAGTAAATTTCCTTAACATAATTGTCAGAACAAAAATGTCAATACTCTAGATATTGAAGGTATGACTTACGTTTTACCTATCGCATGACTTGATTTCTTCGCACATTTTTGTCGCCATCTTATCTACCCTGTTGGCGAATCTGAAAAGATATAAGTCAGATTATTAAATACAACTTTTAAAATTAAATAAAACAAGCTGTAAAAAAATTAATATCGAGGACACCTATGCTTCATTCTACAAATCTTATTACCAAAGATCCTTTTCCTTGGCGACTAACAAGAAGGAATCGATGCAACTAACGAAGACTTTCCTGCTAACCGCTTCTGCTTGTAACCTGTTGAGCGAGTGTTGAGGCGACGAGGTGAGTAAGCGTTTGATGGGGATGGTGATGTTTGAAAGGAATAGCTAATGGCATGAGAGGGAAAATTTCAATTAGGCAGAGCCTTCACTTTATAGTTTGCTTGAAACACTGCAAATAATCACAATGCACCGTAGTATTCAGCATGTCTTACTTATAAGGCAATCACAGCCGAAAACAAAGCCTGGTCATCGTTCGGATGACAATATGGCCTTGCACATGCAGATAATGAAGGCACGATCTCGTTGAGAGTAGAGAGTGCACATGTGAGCACGTGATAAGCATCTATCGGCATTTGACAACTCCGTGGGTTTATTGTCCTCCCTATTTGAAATTACAATGCCATTACGAATGCCAGTTTAGAAAAGCGGTGCCATGTATGGTATGACATCAGTATTTATGTTGGCGATAAAGTTTCAAAATCGCTTCACTTTTTGTCGCTCCGCGACTCACGAATTTATAGGATATTTCCAAACCACACGTGGTAGTATATATGATAATTTTCATTACGCGCTTCAGTAATCTTGAAGTTTTGTTCGGTGCAAAGATGTCATACCATGTGTCCAATAAACTCTGCCTTCCTTTCTCTCATTTCCAGTAAGTTACTTTTTCTGAAAGTGGATAAGGGCAATATTTTCCTTGGTGGGATTCGGAATGAGGTGGAAGTCGGTGAAAATACGAATATACTCGTAGCATGACACTGGAGCGGGAAGAATACATGAATTGCGGGTCGTAGAAATAGGTCAACTTCTTTCGAAACATTCTTATTGCATGTCTAATCAAACCTAATGATACTTGAAAAATTAAAGGGGAAGAAATTAATTACCTAACTTGAAATTTTCAAGTTTTTGTAAATCTATTTTTGTTAATTCACTTATTACAATATTGCAAAAACTTCAGCAAAAGTTTCATCACCGATAAAGTTAAAAAAAGGAGTATAACTGCAGGAGGCGAAATGTTGTTTTTTTCTCGAAAAGATAGCAAAATACGTATTATGAGCACTTTGATAATGATCGCACTTAAGAAGAAATACTGTCAGAATAAAGATTCAATGCATTCTCGGAGATATCAAGAGCCAGTATCTGACAATTAACCGTTCTAAAACGTCATTTAATAAGTTGGCTAATCTCTTGTAACGATTTTTTTACGATTTTACGAAGAATTGCCGAGGTAATAGAGTTGTAGATCCAGTGGATTCCACTGTCTCGGCGAAGAATTGTATTTCCCTTTTCATTAACCAATACAATTTCATAGTCTGCTATTTTTCTGAATGACGAGACTTCATACAAGTGGATTTTAGAATTCAAATTATTAATTTTTATTTGCATTCTCTAATTTAAAAAAAATATTGTTATCCAAAACTACAAAGTCCACAGATGTAATAACTTTTCACAGTACAGAATTGAATAATTACGGTACATTCCGTGAGCCTGGCAATCGTATTACAAAATTATTTTTATAATTAGGCAACTCATCAAATATAAAAACAGGTAACACAAAAATACATTCCATACCCCTCATACGTCACATACAGTTATTTATTCTTTTGAAATTAAATTAAATCGAATAATCATTGTGACTATGAGTCGAAACCTTTGACAATACTCGTAAGTGTGCTCTTGGGCCTGTGACACTACAGTTGTGTCGATGCGAGTCACCTCACGCTAATGACATCAGTTGCGTCGCCGCGCGTCGATACTTGCGCTCCCGACTCACTTAACGCGCGTTGTAGATTAACATTGTATCTTACGAGAATCGGCACACGGGCATTCTTGCCTACGTGCGCTGAGCCTACAGATCACACAAGACGCCCAAGCTACTACGTAAGTCAAGATAACGCGATTTTTCTAGCCTTCAATGCGCGATGCCCGCTAGGCGACGTGCGTTGGTAACAACGCACATTGTCAAGAACGCTCGTGTGACGTTTCGCATAAGATATAATGTTTCATCTACGACGCGCGTTACGAGACTCGTGAATGCAGATGTCCACGCAGCTGACGTCATCGGCTTTAAGCAACTCGCGTCAACGCAAATCTATGGTGACACGGGCATGGCGTGCGACATTCAGAACGTATTCCTGACAGATATCAGTGTCGAATAAGTGTCCATCTGGAGGCAACTTCGCTTCTACATCACGCTTTTTGCTAAACAGAGATCCGTCTAATCGCCGTGGTAACATTTTGTGACATTTAGTCAGACTCCTGGGTATTGACCTCTCAAGGGAGTGAGTCACGTGGTTGGTTCCAAGTGTAACGCAGCGTCGTGTGGCAGGGTTCGCGTGGAGGAGAGCAACCGCAGCGGGCGCGTGGACGTGAAACCGCCGTCCTCCGCCTCTACCGCCGCCGGCACCTCCACCGCCGCCACCCAGCGCTCCACCGCCGCCCCCGCCGCCACCACCACCGTCACCACCGCCTCCGCCACCAGCGCGGCCCCGACCACCGCCACCAGCGCCGCCGCCGCCGCCGCCGCCTCCTTCGCCACCACCAAGGCGGCCGAGGCGCAGCTCGGCGCCGCCATCCACCGCGTGACGTCACAGCTGCTGACGGCCGAGGACGTGCGCACGCCGCCCAAGCTCAGGCACCAGCAGGTACACGCATTGGCGCCCAACGGGGGGCCACGCCACAAACGGAAACTTGCCGCTATTCCCATGTTAATAACTAGGTTCTCATACAAATATGTCTCATGATGCTTCATAATTATTAACAATACTTAGAAATATAAAATAGAAAAGTCATTCTTTCGAGGAAAGCAAAATCGAGATATTAAAATTTCCGATTAGCGATAAGGCTGGTATGGCTCGTCTCGTTCTTCGTCTACAAGCTCTTCATTTGTTTAATCTTCTAAGCATGAACGATAAAAATATATTACAAATATGTAAAACGGGATATAATATATAATGTGAAATTTTCAAGACATTTAGAACCAAACAAAATAAAATTATGCAATTAGAAATTAAAATAATGGAAAATTAAATCAGTTTTAAAAATAAATATTTATCGGCCTACGGGATTAACATTTGTATCTTTGAACGATAGTCACCATAGAAACGTGGGAACTCAATGCCCAGCAAACAAGCTAATGGTATTGTCATAACATGTTTGAGACAATCAATAATCCACGGCAATTGAGTGCGTTACTTTCTACGCTTCAAGGTAATATTCTCATCCTCTTGCGCATTACTATCAAAATATATGACGAGTAGACTGAGTTTAACCCTAACACATTGCGTGCATATGATCTGGCACCTCGCGTGGTCTGCATACAATTCTCAATGTGTTAGAAAAAATTTGCAGAGTTTTGAAATGAAACCTATTTTTGAAATTTATAAAACATCGGGGGAAATTTAAAAAAAACGCATGTATGATAAATTAAACAAATATGAAATGTAGTGCAAAATATATAAAAAATAAGGAAACATTTCGATATTGGGTGGGATTGTGATAGCCGAAAGCCTTCACATTGACATGGCTGTCCTTTCGCGGTGCCACCAGAACAGTTGAGAGCCTTCCAATGACCGGTCGCGGAAGCCCCATACTCTGGGGAAAGATGAGGGACTTGTGTTGGCGAATGTGAGTGGCGCATAGATTCAACTCCGGGTTGCCGAGGTTGCCGAGAGGGCAATCTGCGTTCCGGCGGGATCCGGATGCCAGTCTCTCGACGTACTTGTGCGCCGGCGGAGGGGGTGAGGATACAAGTACAAAGCTTAGATGTCCACCTCGGGGTTGACACCCCATGGTAAAACAAGTATATGCATGAGGTTGTAGCCCACCTAGCGTCCCTACTGGTCGCAACTGCTACAATTGCACAGAAGGAGAAGAGTAGTGATTTGTGTGGCAGTGAGTTTGGACCGTGGCCTTCTTCAGGGCTGTAGGTGTGCAGTTCTGAAGAAGACCACGATATAATGTTGGTGCCTTCGCGTACGCGCGCGTAGAGAGAGAAAGAGGCAGAGTGGTGTGGTTGGTGTCGCAGGAGCAGCGCGCCGGGCAGGGCCAGGGCCAGGGAGTGGCCGTGCCGGTCATCCTGGAGGAGGACGAGCTGGAGAGGGCAGAGGAGGTGCTCACGCGCCACGCCCCCTCCGCCGCCACCGCCAAGCCCCACGAAGAGGGGCTCTCCACGTGGGTGCTGCTCAGCGGCA